CCGCGCCCTCTCCGGGGGGAAGAGGCCCGGACACGGCGGCGGGGGCCCTTCTGCCTCCCCCCCCCCTCCATCCCGCCCCACCGGGTCGGCTCCTTACCCGCCTTGTAGCCGCGGAAGCCGAGCTGGGGGTGCAGCCCGCCCCACATGGTGCCGGGCCGGGGAAAGGGGGAAGCGCCGCTCTCTCTCCGGCGGGCGGTGGCGGCCCGGATGGCCGAGGGAGGAGGAGGAGGAGGAGGCGGCGGAGAGGGTTAGCGGGGAGCTGCGGCCGCCACCGCGGCGGGGGAGGCTGCTGCCCGCCTCAGGGGCGCCGCAGCCATGGTGCTAGCGCAGAGAACCGGGGGTGGGGGGGGTGAACCTCGCCGCCCCCTCGCCGGAGACAAAACTTGCTCTATTGCGCTGCCGCCTGCCTGCCTCTGCGGGGCGGGGACAGGGGCGGGAGCCCCGCGGATGCGGCCGCTGCTGCTCGGGGACGAGCCGCTTGCATAACCCGGCCCACGGGGAGGGGGCGCGGGGAGAGCGGCGAGTCTGACCGGCCCGGCCCGGCCCGCAGCCCCGTCACCCCCGGCGGGTCTCCCTCCCCTCCGGGCCCCGCTGGGTGGTTTGGGCGCTGCCGATGGCCTGGGGGGGGTGTAACGGAGCCCTCAGGCCGCCCGGCCCCGGTTCCTGCCCGCCTAAACCCGGGAGCGGGGAAGGGACCGCCTTCAACGGCGTGTAACCGTCACCGGGGAAAAGGGCTAATTGAAAGCACTTAATTGGGTATGAGGATAATTGGTAAAGGAAAGTGAAATGCCTTCCTCCAGAGTTACAGAGATACCCGAGGCCGGTACGTGCAGAGTTTATGCTAAATCCACCGTTCCCCTGCGCTTGTTTGTTCCAGTAAGAAAACAAACCGGAAAGAAAAATCATAACGTTTCGTGCGAACGGTCGGTTCCACCGAAAGATCCTCGGCATCACCGTGAAGTTTAAGCCGCAGGACTGGGAACAAAATGCTCCCGTCAGCAAGAATTCAAAGCCGGGGAGAGGCTTCCCCGGTCCCGGGCTGCTGCGAGTCTGCGCCGGATGCTCCAAGAGACGGGAATTCTGCAGCCTCTGCGTTACCCTCCTGTGCAGCCCCAGTGGTCCCCCTGTAAACCGCCCGCCGAGCAACTGCGCCCTGACTCCATCAGCATTGTCGGGCGAAGAGAGGAGAGAAAGGAGAAAATAGTCAGGCACCTTCTAACTGCAGTGTAACCATCCCAAAATTACAAAACCCGCCACCCCCCAGACCGAAAAGCAAGGCTTTAGGCAGCTTTGCAGTGTGGTGGATGTGACAGCTCGGGGAGGGGAGGTGAAACCGGAGCAGCTCTGTGTTCGTGTGGAAACACTCACGATCAATAAATAAAATCTGTGCTCAAACACTTCCTGCTGACCTGATGCATTTTTAATTAGTAGCCGATGATCACAGAATAGCTTTTATCTCTTCAGAAATTTATATATTTCAGCACAAGTTATATTTTATTTATGCCTAGCTAATGTACTCAGTAAAAGAGAGGCCTCAGAAGTACCAGAATGAGCTGCATATTATTATTTTGTTCTCTTTCTCATCCATATAAAGTCCTTACGTACTCTCTGAAGACCTGATATGACATGTATTCCTCACCAGCTCATTGTAACTACGGAGCATAACTGTACGTGTTTTGTAGGTATAGTTGTAGAAACACAGCCTTGAAAAAGTTACTAAATAATGAATGAAAAACCCAGATACTGAAACTCCAAGAGATCCCATCAAAACCTTCAGACTGTTGCTAGAGGTCCTCTGAATGATAAAAGGTCTGAGGCATTCTCAACCACAAATACTGTCTTACAGTAGAAGACCAAGGTGGGAAAATAAAGTATTGTTAATAACACCTCAGGTAAATTGTCCAGCCTTTCAACCCTGAAGCCAACTTCAACACTGAAGAATGCTATGAGGGCACGGTGGGTAAACATGAATATAAGAAAGAAGAAAAGCTAAAGTATCATCTGGCAAAACACTCAGGAAAGAACCATGTAAACAGCTTAGTTCAAGACCTCTTTAAAGGACTTGTCTGCCTGTAATATTTGTTGCATGCTATTTTGTTGGATAAACATGTGCTTAGCGTATTTACAGAAGGATGCAGCGAGCTGTGAGGAAGCTGAATATCAAGAAGGGGAAGGCATCTAGCAGCAGGTGAGGAGGAAAATTACCTCATCACTGCTGAGCTCTGGAGTTTGTGGTGCTGCCCTGTAATCCAGCTGCAAGAATCCAGAGGCATATCATGACCCCAGAGATCTGCATGCCTGGAAGAGGTGTGAGAACAGTTCTTCCATGTCCTAATAAATGTCACTGCAGTGTTTTTGTGTACCTTGGTGTCACCATTCATGGAAGCTTTACAGTTCCCTATGTATCTCCTCTCTACATGTGAACAATACCACAAAGGAAAACCAGATAAAAAGGCCAAGATGAGAGTGGGGGATAGTCTGGCTGAATCACCTCTCACAGCAAACTCCATGTCTTCCAGGGTGTCCCAGCTGGGGCATCTGTGCTTTGACAGTGCTACTGCTCAGAGCACAAAGAAGAAAAAAACCCCATGTTTAAATTTAAACAGGCAGATAAGAGAACCTGAGACACATTCATCCTTTTGATTGGATTTTAAGTTATTTTTATAAAAATTGAATGTAATTAGTAAAGCTTTTTCACTAGGAACAACCTCAGTGTATCTGTCTGGAAACCAGGCCAAACTGAAGCCAGTAGTTTTACTCTATAAATAAATTTAGCTTGTTAATGCTTTATTCACTATCCAGCAATGTTTTACATCTGCAGTCTGCTTATGTACACAGTCCCAGACTAGAAGTAGTATTTGTTTTAGATTTTCAAAAACCTCTTGAAAAGGTGTTCTAACTGGCTTGGACCTCCTGCAGAGATGAGTTTGTGCTATTTCGTGCTGCTGAGGCAAGCCCCTGCTTTCACATGGATCCTAACTTGGCAATGCAGCAAGCCATGAGGACATCCCGAGCTCTGAGGAGGTCCCAAACCCCTCGTTTTAACAGGTCTGTGATGTCCCACCTGCGAGCTGGTGGGTGCTACTGTCTCTGGACCATTCTATGTGCCTCTGTCCCTCTCTGCCTAATGGAGCCTATCTACGCTAGGATGCCTTGCATCAGCTTATCACCTCTCGGATCTCTCGGTGAGAAGAATTAGGAGCATGGCAATCTCTGTTGCAGCACTGCCCCACTCAAGACAGGTAGAAAGGTCTCGATACCCCTAGGAAACAGCAGGGTGGTAGGATGGAAAGCTCATGTAACCTTACATGTGAATCAGTGGTAACTGGAAACAGGCGGCGTCCCTGGCTAATTACTGGGAAATGTGGTGCTCCAGATAATGGACGGACTCAAGTTCTTACTGTCCGCAAAGCCTTCTCTCCACCTCTTCCCTCATCACCCTCTGACACAAACTCTACCCTCTTGGCAGAATCAACAAATTAAAATAACAATAGACAGTAACAGCTCGGGCACTGGTACTAGGCAGATGCTGTCTCATTAATGTCAGTTGCAGCCCATCTTACCCAAGGGTCTGTGATCCATTTCCAGGTTGAGAAATCACGTCTCTTCTTTTTTTCTTCCTGAGTAAAAACATAATGCTCTAAATGGAATTAAGCTGAAGTGTAACCTCTGAAAGCAGCATTTTTCTTGATTAAAGCCAGAAATGCATTTAATATTTATTCTACACACTTGCTTTCACGCTTAACAGAATTAAAAGATTATTAAAAAAACCCAAATGCTAAATAGCTAAACATTGTTCTAAGAGAATGCAGGCTACTTCCCCTATCTAATTAAGACATCAAGCATGTGCGCATTCTATCAAAAAACAACAGCGGTGTTTCTGCAAGCACATCTTTTTGTAATTGACTTTGAAATTAAAATCACAAATTTTCAGTTATTGAGTTGCTTCACTGAGTACAGAAATCCCTTTCCTCCACCCACAACTTTTTCAGTTGAACACTGTGCCCTAGCAAAGTCTAAGCAGCCTCCAAGAAGCCTTAGAGCAATTCCCTCCGCTTTGGAAAAAATAGCCATGTATGTTACAAAGCGAGATGTTAAACTCTATTGAGTGGCACTGTAATTAAGAACAGATTAGCCTACCTAATAAACTGCACCCCTGCTGGTAGGGGCAGGTTGGCCTACAAAAGACTGAAATGTTCCACTGGAAGTGCATTGCTTTCGCTGCATTAACAATAAACTGTGGCACTTAATATGAAAAAACATGGCGTATGCAATGTTCTTATTTTTGCCTTTTCTACAAGCAAATGAGAGCGCGTATCTTTCACGTAGGAGCACAAATTGATACTGGTTTGAATCCGCCCTGTGCTTTCAGTAACAGCTTATACCATGAGAGAGAATAAAACCAAGCAGCTTGTTGCTACCGTAGCAGATTCTTCTTTCTGTTCCAGGTTTCAGAATCAGGATTTCACCTGAGAATCTCAGTCTGAAAATATTTTCCCTTATATCATTGCTAGAAGATCCTTCGGTGTCAGGGATTTTACCTGGTTCAATATTGGTGGGCGGAACAAACTTTTTTTTTTGATCATATGATTTTAAAATAAGTCTAAGAGGTTTAAATCAACTCTATGACATCAACTCTGATACCACAGGAAGAACACATAGAGGGGGTGGGATTCAGTGGCATCTAATCAGTAGCTTGTGAAGAGAATCAGGAATTTCCCAGGTGTGTTTTTCTCAAGGGGAAAATTTTGAGTTCTGCTATTCTACCTGTCCTTTTGTCCATTCCTTCCAGTCCCAAAGACAGTGGGAAAGAAGGGGAAATACAAATGACTTGGGAGGAGATGAAGAGAATACATAAAAACCCACAGGCTGCAGGCAGGCCACTTCCTTCTGGGCATCCAGCGTTGGCCCCTAACACATTTAAGAGCCAGACTGCCTGTACTGGAGCAGCAAGCCCCTTCCCCTGGCCCTCATGGGACTCACTAACGTATCCAGCTTCCTTTCAGGACATAACACTTCAATAAAAAATATTTTTTTAAAAATTGTTTCTCCTACTTATGTTGTATGACTCTTATTACAATCTCTCCAGTTCTCTTGGTTGAGCCCCCTCAAGAACCTTCATGTTCTACGAACACACTATCTGAAGTTAGGACCATCCCGCCTTTTTTTTTTTTCTGGTAGCTCTAGCTGTAAAGCCTCCTGTACAATCCTTCCTGTACAGCAAGCTGTAAATGCTCTTGAGAGAGAGGACTGAGACCACTTGGTGATATTCTACATGTTATGATACTGAAGGCCATATTTGGGACCTGTTACAGTCCAGAGGCTTCTTTGCAATAACTAATTTTAAAAATGGTACTTTACTGCTTTAGAGTATTGTTTGGCATTCTTCAGAGAGAAGGACCAGAAAAATGAAGAAAATGAAGGCATGATATAACTATGCTACCAGTCATCAGAGCAGGAAGCACAACTCAGTTGCGAAACGACTATACCAAACCCCTTTCAATTTCAGATTATCAAAATACTGAACTTTTTTGTATTTACTTTTCTGTTCTAAAACTTATGCTAAAGCCCCAGAAGCCTCAGCAGTGCTGCAGTTCAGGCTTTCAATCCGAATGGCCCTTGCCAGTGCTTGAGTTTTTCCAGTTGACAAGTTACTTCAAGGCAGTCGTGTTTCATTCTGTGTTATACACAGACAAATGAGCGCAGAAGGATAAAGCATTGGATAATACTGTTACAAGATAATTTGCAGAATTTTTTAAAGCTTCTTTATGTAGGTTAAATTCTACCTCAAATGTGAAGTAGGTGCTGTATTAGAAGCACAAGACATCATTTCACCTGACCTGTTTAACAGCTATCTGCTTCAAAGGTTAATCAGAACCCCCCCCCTTTTATGCAGTCCCTGAAACAAAGGATGAGACGGTGCAGGGAGGTTCCCTCCTCCATCTCCACCTCAGCACAGAAAGGAATATATCCTATTTTCCTTTTGTAACAAAAGTCCCCACTGAATTCTCTAACTTACTTTTGAGAAATACAGTATTTAAAACTAGAAGTGACTGTATACAGGAAGACCAAACACACTGGAGCACAGCCAGAGAGTGATATAAACAACTTTGTGTGAATGCTTGGAAATGGAAATTTCTTTCAAATGGCCATCATTATCTGCTTATAGCCTGAAATATGTAGTTTGTTTACTCCAAGTCCGAAATACAACCTATGAACATTACCAGACAGAAAATTATCTGGTCACTTGTGTTTGAGCCAGACCCACTATTGCTGCAAAGGGATGAAATTTCAGTAAAGTCGATGGAGTTATGCCAGTGCTCGGTTTAGTCAGCTCAGTGCTGTCATATGCCCATATGTAGAAGTCAGATGGAAAAATGTATTTCATGCTTTAACT